GGCTGGGGCCGGGGCACGATGGGTGTGCGTAGTGGTGTGTGTATGCGAGGCGAAGGGAAGAGTGCCGGGGAAGTGTGAGAATTAGGGGGAAGGATGCATAGAGAGGAGAGGGAGAGACGAGAGAGCACGCGTGCGCCCGGGTGCAGCAGCCCCCTGGATCCAGGGGCTTGTGTAATCTAGCAGGGAGCTTACACAGGCTTTGCTGCCGCCAGTGATGGTTCATTTCTCTCCCTCTCTCCTCGCTTCCCTCCCTCTGTCTCTCTGCTCCATTTGTGCTACAGACAGATCTGTAAAGAGTTCACCGACCTGCTGGCTCAGGACCGATCTCCCCTGGGGAACTCGCGGCCCAACCCCATTTTGGAGCCGGGCATCCAGAGCTGCCTGACCCACTTCAACCTCATCTCGCACGGCTTCGGGAGCCCGGCGGTGTGTGCTGCCGTCACTGCCCTGCAGAACTATCTCACCGAGGCGCTCAAAGCCATGGACAAAATGTACCTCAGCAACAATCCCAACAGCCACACAGACAACAGCACCAAAAGCGGCGACAAAGAGGAGAAGCACCGAAAGTGAGGATCTCACCCCCCAGCTCCTCTCCCTTCCCCCTCATAGCCCATCAATCCATTCATCTCCCTCCTCCCTCTCCCCTGCACCCAGCACCTCAGGCTACAGCAGCAGAACAGCGTCCTTCTGCCAGTCCTGTTCACTGACTGCAGGACTGCTCTGCCCTCTCCCCGCACCCCTTCCCAGCATCCACATCTCCATTTGCTCCCTCTAAACTTCCCCCTCCTCTCCCTGCTGCCACCATCGTTTTACCCCAGTTTGGAGCCTAAGAGAACAGAACAGGGGGACGGAGCCAGCAAAGAAAAAAAGTTCTGTCTTGAGTTTGTGAACTTTTTTTTAAATAAAACAAAAGGAGGAAAAAAAAAAAACCACACACACAAAAAACAAAACAAAACAAAAAAAGGACGATTTTTTTTCTAAAAATATATAAAAAATTAAAAAAAAAAAAAAGAAAGAAATAATACTTTAAAAATTCTATGAGCTTCACCGGACTGAATCACCACCTTCCCTTACATAAACTTCAGTTAAGATTGTAGCCATATTAAAAATGAAAAAAAAAAAAAAAGACGAAAATAGTACAACAGGAGCAGCAACAGCAAACAAACACAAGGCAAAAAGGACTGATGACATTTTATCAGTATTGTGAATAAACTTGAACACAAAACACAAGCAGTTCCATGTCATATCTTCAGTTGTAGAACTTTTTCCTGTCCAAGGTAAAGCGACCAACTTGAACTTTCTATTGCAACACGATTCACGGTTATTATATAAGGGAATCAGTGTTCATGTATGTATATATTTATTTATGTGTAATTTAATGGGAATTGTAAATATGGTGAGTCTGTTTTAAGCCTTTTTTTATTTATCTGGTGATCTCGTTTACCTCTTGTTTAGTGGGTTTTAAATCTTCCCCTCTTAGTTCATCATGTGGTTCATGGTACTTATTTAGATATCAGAGGTTTTTTGGGGTTTTTCTCTGGGATTCATCATTTTTAGCCCTGTTGTAGCATGTTAAAGACGACAATGAAGCAACTGAACAAATAAAAAACCATTAATTTTTATATATAATTAGTATGACATTTAGTTTCTCATTGAAGATAAAATAAAGTGATGTTGGACCCTGGCAAGCTTTTTAAACATGTTAGTGGTTTTACAACCCTTATGTGTTGTGGAAAATGAAAAAGAAGCTATTTTCATCCACTGTCCTTCTCCCGAAAACACCATCAGAGCAATAAATTAATACTGTCTTCTAAAACAAGATTTAGCTTTTCTCTCCCCCCCCTTTTTTTTTCTTTCTCCCTTTCTTTTGTTTCTCGTTTTTTTTTGTTTCCAAAGAACTTCAAACATTTGGGACCACCTGGTATCCTGTATTTCCACTGGCCATATTGGAAGCAGTTATAGTTGTATTGTATTGAGTTGTGCCGGCAGTAGTTTCCATGCCTATCAATGTATCATAGTCCTTTGTTGCCCAGATAAATAAATATTTGATACGCTTTATGTCGATTTTTTTTATTCAGTGGCTGTCTTTACCCAGGCGTATTTTTGTTCTTGGCAGTATTTTTTATTCAGTATGGTTACAGTAATTGAGTTTAACTCTCCCTTGACAATTGCTCCTTGCAATAAGCAGCTGAACCCATTGTTTCCCTCAAGTATAATAAAAACTTACTTTCAACTTGGAGTTCAGAGCAGGGTATCATTTAGATATTCCACTGAGTCTGTATTCAGACAAATGACACAATAAAGCACAATGTATTCTTTTGGATAAAAAATTGTCTGTACTACTAACAAAATGACACACTATCTTTTCTTTAACCAAAACATAATTTTATTTAAAAAATAAAGTTTTATTTTATTTATGTTGACCTCTAGGTTTTTATTTATGTTTATATATAGCATGCAGAATTATAAGCCTATAAAATTTTGTACGTGCAGTTGTCCTAACGGAGAGTGGAGATTAAAAAAAAAACATCTCAAGAAGCACATTTAAAAAAGAATCGTTACCGAGAGAATAGCAAAAATTAGGTGCTATGAAAAAAATTATATACTGGTGAATCAGAGCTGGATGCTCCCTCCCCCTCAAGAAAAAAGAAAAGCTCCGTAGTCGATGCCAACAAAATCATCTCGCGGTTGTGAACTTTAGTGAAATCTTGCAGGAGACAGATTATTTCTGATTGATGGTTCATGTTTTAGTGAAATGCACAGATTGACATTTTGAGAGGTTGTGTCAGTTTATAAGGGACCGAAATTTTTGTCTTGAGTTTCTTCTCATGGAAACCAGTTGTAAAATAGGGAAGTTTGTTTTGTAGATAAATGGGGTGTACGTCTTGAAGATGGGCTGCAAGAAAACCGTGTGAGAATTGAGACTTTGAATCTGTTTTCTTTGGCCCAGGGGGCAGGTGAAGTCAGGATCAGGCTGAATTATAGGGTACCATAGAAAGGGGGGCTAATGCTGTTTAGAATGTAAAGGCATTTTAAAAACATGGTCTCCTTGAAGTGCTGATGATATTTTGGTGGTAGTGGCTGATTTTTCTCTCTCTTTCCTCCCCTCCCTGACTCTCTTCACTCTCTCTTTCCCCCCCCCTCCCCCTCTCTCTCCTTTTTCCCCCCATTTTTGATCAGGCAGAAATTGAGGAGGTTAAGAGGGAGGTGTTTACAATAAAGCTGCAAAGAGAATTAACATTTGCTCATATATTTTGACGTTTGGTAGGGCTGGTGAAGCAAAGCATTAGATAAAGCCCAAGATGTTTCATTTTGCTTTGGTAATCTACTTATGGAAGGCAGTGTAAAATCAATCTTGCCAAGCAGAAAGAGAGTTGGTGGAGTCTAAATTCTATTTCCGAGAGCCAGCCAGTTTATAAAAATGGTGAATATTTTTGTCCTATAAATTGAAAGTGGATCTTTTGAATGCAAAGCTGCAATTGTTTTAAAAACAGTTATTTATTATTTCCAAGAGAGACTGGTTAACTGTAAAGTAGATGTAACAAAATAATGAGGTGAATGAACCCTAACTGTACATATTCTTGACATAAATGAAATGCACAGTATTGTAGCAGGTGAAGTGAAGCATTGTCTATCACGGCTGTTTTTCTTGGCTGCATCTCAGATTATGTGTGGGATCCTAACCTCAGGCACAATAGCATTCATAAACAGCAATACATTGCTGCTCTTTCTACAGCAACACATAAATACTCATTTTTAAATGAAAACAATCTTATTAAATACCATTCATTCATATCTGGATTTACAGATGCTTGTTACTTTTTGAAACCTGTACCCGATATAATCGTTTTATACTGGGCGATGTATAAAGCAGTCTTATGCAAGAACATTGTAAGGTCATAATAAATAATGTTTTAAATATATAATTAGCTACTTTATGCTAGGAGAGTGCATTTTAAGTATCCTGCTGCTGCATTAGCAAGCCACTAGAAAACAGAAATGAAATGACCTTGCATAGATTTCTTTATTGCTATTATTTCTAGGGAAGGATTTTACAGGCGATAATGGAAATCAGACTAGCTTTGGTTCAGCCTCTTCTGCTGTGATCAATATGCAGTTACTAAAACGTGCTAATTACTTGAGTATTCTTTGGAAGCATTTTTAACGCATGTGATCAAGGTGCAGCAGTGAAATTCTAGATCATGCTTTTATACACTAAACAAAAATCTGCTGTTATTTTTTTCCCCTAGATTGCCTGAAATGAGGGTGAGCGGCGGCTGAACGTTAGACCATTGCTGCCACGCTAAGATAATTCCTGCATGTGAACCAAAATAGAGCTCAGCGCTCTTTCACCGTGAACAAGGACAGCCCTCCTCTTTGTATCGTAATTTACCCCACCCTCCAAAAATCGAATATTAATATAATTTGAGATTTAACTGGTGGAACAGCCATCAGGACAGCAATGCCCCGCAGCTGAAATAATATTTAAAATAGAAGGGATTTGACATTTGAGAAGTCAGTGGCTTGAAATACCCAGTTGTACTTAGCTAATTCAGTCCTTAACCTCTGGTTTCAAATAAATCAATTACAGTCGATTCCACTTCAGTTCAGAAGTGCACGAGGTTTTTAGTTAATTGAATACATTTTATTCACTTGCTGGGAGTATTCATTTATCCAAAGCCCTACATTTAAAGACGATTTCTTTATTGTCCATGATAAATTCGGCTGCGTAATCAGATCAGCTCCTTGACTGTTTACTTGTCTTCTGCCTCACATTTAAATTCCAGAATATGCACTTCCCTTTCCCTCGGTACGTGCGTGTCTCAGCCCAGACCAGATTCCCAGAGCATCGGCCCTCGCATTTGCAAAGTGTAGCTAAAATAACAAGCGCCCCTCCGACGGGCAGCGACGTGAAGCCCGTCCCAGCTAGCGAGGGCAGAATGATTTAAACCAGCTCAATAATGGAATGCAAAAGGTCAGGAGTGTGAAAAATAAATGGTGCCTCTGATTCTGTCCCGTGCACCTATTCTGAATCAAAGGGCTATGTCTCTGCTCCCTGCCCTGCCCGCAGCAGGAGCAGTTAACTCTTAGAGCAGAATTTGGAGCTGGCTTGGTGTCATCGGGAGAGGATTTTTGTCGAGCACCAGGCAGTGAAGTTGTGTCACTGATCCACTTTGAAAGGATATTGATATAGGCCGTACTTTGTGTGTGTTGTTTGCAGAATCCTGCTGGCATTGGTTTGCTGTTTTGGAAAGGAAAGGGGTTAATTAGCATCATTATCAATCACGAATGCTTGTCTAACATGTCCAAAGAATAATCAAGTTAGGGGACTGCATGAAGCTAACATCTGCTTCATTCCAGCTAAAGATTTTTCCCTATATCATTCAATTATTGGAAGTCCACACCGGTTTCAGGCTTTGTCAGGGCCATAAAACAGGGTCAGATCATTATAAATCTGGAATGGAGGGGAAAGTGCAATATAAATAACAAATGGCTTCATTATTTGAGTTACAGGTGCAAGAATGGCCATGAAAATGAGCAGGGATTACTAGAATGCGTTCCTTCTTTTTATCTCCAACATGGAGGAAAAGAGAAATCAACCAAGCCCGGGTCTTAAATCATTTATTCTGCATAGGTTGCAGCCCACCTATTTGCAATATTTAGGTTAGTAACCCCAAACTCCCCAAATTAAGTATTTTAAAGCAAGTGACTGGAAACAGGGGAAAAGTAAAAGTCTGTCATGACCCATTACTGGTGGAGCCTTACCGGCTTCAGAACAGCAAAATACCCTTGTTTCTCTTCTTCTAGTTGAAGTTTCTAGGCTTTTTTGGGTGGCTGAAATAGATGATGTTTCAGGCAGGGTAAACAGATATACAGCTTATGATGGTGGTAAAGAGTTGTGTCCTTGCACTGTTACTACTCTGTTCTGGTGCCTGGTGGTGTAGATATAAAGGGGACAGATCTGTGGTCTTTTATTCCCTCTTACAACCACTGT